GGGTTTAGGGTTTAGGGTTTAGGGTTTAGGGTTTAGGGTTTAGGGTTTGGTGTGTAGGGTGGAGGGTTTAGGGTTTAGGGTTTAGGGTACCCTAAGCCCTAATTCCTAAGCCCACACCCCCAAGGACAGTGTTCTCTGTGGGTAGTACACAGAAGTCCAAAGCCCCAAGCCCCCCCCCCCCTCCCCCTGCTTCAGGGCTTAGGGTTTGGGGTTTAGGGTTTAGGGTTCTCAACCTGACTTTGAAGGTTCATGGGTAGCTAGGGTAGTTCTGAGGAGGTTTGTGACATTCTCCTTGTTTCAGGTATTGCTATTCCCACTGACGCCTACGTGTAAGTGCAAATGAGCCTTCATGGCCCAAAGCCTAATCCCAACAAGCTGGAACTCCCTAAACTCCCTAGGCCTACACTTTTAACCCTGCCCCCCTAACCCCAAACCCTAAACCCCAAGCCCTCGTAAACCCCCCCCAAGCCCCTGAACCCAAAGCAAAAACCGCGAAGTGCAAGGTCAAATTCCTGCAAGACCTGGCCACGCTGCGGTGCAAGCAGAACCGTCAGGCAGACTGCCAAGGTTTCAGGGTTTAGGGCTTGCAGGTTTAGTCTTTGTTCGTCAGTTGAATCATACTTGGACGCCTCAGGATGCGAAGTGTGGTTCCCTTAATATACTTCTACAAGGGTGGTCAGTAGGGCTTCAGGGTTGGGGTTTATCCCCGCCCACCCGTCCAATTTTGAGAGGTTGCCATTGTGGCCTATGCACAGCATGGCGAGTTTGGTCACTAGGGGAGGGGGTTGTGCACTTGGGTGTTTGTGTGGGGTCTCAACAGCTTTTTAAACCCACCAAGCTCAGCTCCCGAAATCCCAGGCCTTAGACCCCAGGCCCGAAAGTCTCTTGGACCTACGTTGAAGCTCGAGACCCTAAAGGCCTCAAGACCTTAAGCCCTACATGTCTGATTTGCTTTCTTTCCAAACTGTCCGAACATCCTGAAGCCCAGCACACTGCCACAAAACAAAACAACTGCCATTGAAGATTCTAAGAGATGCAACCACGAGAATACCAACAAGAAAGTAAAGCAATAAGAATAAAACTGAAGAATAATAACAACACGAAGAATAAGAAACAGAAGAATGCGAATAAGACTGTTTGTACAAAAACAGACATAGCATTAACAATAATTACAATAAACATAATTATAATAGTACTGACAATAAGAAGTATAAGAACACAGAAAATAATACGAAAAAGAAGAATGACATAGCTCATCGCGATGAAGCTCTCCGAGCCTCCGGAGGCCGAGGCGGCGCCCCTCTTGGAGGCAGAGAGTTCAGGGTTTAGGGGGGGCGAGGGGGGGAGGCGGGGAGGGGAGGGGGAAGGGGGGACGGGAGGGGGGGGGGAGGGGGGAGGGTGGGGGGAGGGGGGAGGGGGGAGGGGACTTGGAGGGAGAGCTGTGGGATGCTGTGGGAGGGTTTCACGGATGCTTCGGGCTCTGCTTTTTTTGTTTGCACATGTTCTTAAGCCTTGTTGTTTTGCATATTCTTGTTGTTCTTATTGTGATTACTGTTCTGGTTGTCGTTGCTCGCTTTGTTGGTGGTGTTGTCCGACTGTTGTCTAGGTTTAAAATGTTATCATGGTTGTTTTTGTTGCGATGATTGTTGCTTGTCCTGAGTATCATTCTTGCTCATCGGGTTATCGATTTTTCTTCATGGGTTTTACACGTATGAAAACACTTAGTGTTTGTAATGCTACTTCTATTTCTGGGCACGTGACCGTATGAGTTTTCCCCATCTTGTTCTTCCTGCTAAGCAGGTAAGCACGGGTGTGTTCTCTGGATTTTGTTGAAGATCTTTTCGATAGAGTTGCTGGGGAGCCCAAACCTACATCCTGACCCCCTAAACCCTAAACCCTAAACCCTAAACCCTAAACCCTAAACCCTAAACCCTAAACCCTAAACCCTAAACCAGCTGCGGCCCTTGCCCCGAGCCAGGAAGTGGCGAAGCGCACGCCGCCCCACGTCGGGTGCTGAGATCCGAAACACGAAGTCCCCGGAACCTCACCCTAAACCCTAAACCCTAAACCCTAAACCCTAAACCCTAAACCCTAAACCCTAAACCCTAAACCCTAAACCCTAAACCCTAACGGAAGGTTCCGGAAGGTTTAGGGGTTCAAGGGTTAATAGGGTCAATAGGGTTAAGGTTTAGGGTTTGGAGGGCTTAGGGTTTGGGGCTTAGAGCTTAGGGTTCAGGGTTCAGGGTTAAGGGTTTAGGGTTCGGAGTTTAGTTAGGGTTTAGGGTTTAGGGTTAATAGGGTTACTTGTTGATAGGGTTTAGGGTTTTGGGTTTAGGGCAACTGAAGCCCTAAACCCACTAGGGTTGAGGACGCCCTCTCTGGCATCTGGACTCCAAGGGCAGTTGGCGCAGTGCGTTGGGGGGCCTGTTCTCTCGTGGCATACCTACACAGTCCTACATCGCAATTGGGGTTTAGGGTTTAGGGTTTACGGTTTAGGGTTTGGGGTTTGGGGTTTTAGGGATTTTGTGAGAGAGTTTGCTGAATAGATAACCTTTAACCTTTTGGGGCCTACCATAATTGAAAGGTTAGCTCTTTTCGGGCCAGAGTACCAAGCAACTAGGGTTTTATTCAAACTAAGTTAGATACGTTGGTCCTGGTCCGGTTCTGAGGAAGCAACCCTGCGCAATCTGGGCACCGTCTACAACATGCTGCGCGAGCATGACAAGGCCGCCCGAAGAAGCCCTGAAAGCCCCAAGCCGCCCTAAACCCTAAACCCTAAGCCCTAAGCCCTAAGCCCTAAGCCCCTAAGCCCCTAAGCCCCTAAGCCCTAAGCCCTAAGCCTAAGCCCTAAGCCCCTAAGCCCTAAGCCCTAAGCCCCTAAGCCCTAAGCCCTAAGCCTCAAGCCCTGAGCCCTAAGCCCCTAAGCCCTAAGCCCTAAGCCCTAAGCCCTAAGCCCTAAGCCCTAAGCCCTAAGCCCTAAGCCCTAAGCCCTAAGGCCTAAGGCCTCATGCATTCATTGCGTTCATTTGTAATCCAATAAAAAGAGTGCGTGAGAACTACACCATTAGTATTATAGTATTAATATTGCCCGGGGGCCTCTTTAAACCTACTATATTATGCCCCCGGTAAACATTATATTAAAAGTGAAGAGAAAGAGGGAACAAGATTATAAGTGCACGAAGTAAGCGCATGAATCTTGCGAGCGATTGAACGAAACAAGGGTTTTTAAGGAGGCTATAAAATATACTAAAATTGCCCCCTTAATAGATAAAAGACTAGAAAGATAAATAACCATAAGATTTCAAGAAAATGCCAATAAAAAAGTTGTAGATTATAAAAGGGTTCTGATGTATGGGCTCTTGGGTGTAGAGGGTATATGCGGTATATAAGGGGTGTATAAGGGGTCCCCTTGTAAAGGCCCAGATTGAGGACGATGGAACTACCCGAAGAACCCTAAACCAGGGCCCAGAAGCACTAAACCCTAATCCCTAAACCCAAAGCCCTGAGCCCTGAACCCTAAACCGGGCCAGTTGAGGTTGATCCCAACCATGCTGCAGGGTGCAGGCTTGAGGGTTTATTGCAAATATTTCGGCCCATTTCAGGGTGGGTAGTTGCCCCCATATACCACGTGTATAGCCCGACCCTTCGACAGCCTTCGTGCTATCCTTACTGGGCTTAAGGAGGGCCGTAATCTGCCACAGACTTTGAAGGTTTGGCCCCCTAAATTTGGGGTTTAAGGTGCAGGATCACGCTGTGGCTCCCTAAACCCTAAACCCTAAACCCTAAACCCTAAACCCTAAACCCTAGACCCTAAACCCTAAACCCTAAACCCTAAACCCTAAACGTGACACGTGGCAGAGCTGGACGGCTTGCCGCCCTCGCTTCGACAAAGCCTGTACTGGCATCGGATCGCTCTGCCTGGAGGTCTGACGGTTCTTTGAACAAACCAACATCGTCAAGGAGGCGGCCGACCAAAGGATGTAGGGTTTAGGTCGTGCATGCTGTGCAGGTGCCTAGGACAAGGTTTACCTTACCCAGGGGCCTGAACTCCTGACACACTCCTCTCCCTGCTTCACAGCTTGAGGATTTAGGCAATTGATTTCGAGCTTTGTCGGTCAGACCGTGCGGCATGTGAGGCACCGCAAAACCCCAAGCCTTGACACCCTGCTAAGGTTCAGACGGGTAGCTTGGACCGCGGCCGGCAACCCTGAAACCCGCTAAAGCTCTTGAACAGCAACTGAACCCGAAACCCTAAACCCGCAACCCTCAAACCCTAAACCTTTAAACCCCTATAAACGCTAAACCCCCAAACCCAAAACCCTAAGCCCTGAGCCGCCAGGCGAAGATCTACTTCGAGGCGGCTTCCAACCTGGTGGGTGCCCGGGAAAAGGAGGCCGGCACGATGAAACTTGGGTTTAGGGTTTAGGGTTTAGGGTTTAGGGTTGAGGGTTTAGGGTTTAGAGTTTAGGGTTTAGGGTTTAGGGTTTGGGGCTTAGTAGGGTTTGGATTTGGATTGTGAACGAAAACGGCTGCATGAACTCGTGGGTTCTGCGATACCCAAAGCTCTCAAGCCCAAACCCTAAGGCTTTTAAACCTGGGGTTGAGGGTGTAGGGTTTAGGGTTTAGGGGCTCAGGGTACTTGGGGGTTCAGGGTTTAGGGGTTCAGGGTTTAGGGGTTCAGGGTTTAGGTTTCCTTGACGAAAGTCGCATCCTTTGGCTGTTGCTGTATACTCGTCGCTGGCGACGCCGACGCCGCCCTGCATCTAAGGGTAGCTTCATGGGCCCTTAGTATGGTCCCTTACCTTCTTTAAGGTGTTCTGATGTGTGGGCCCTTACAATTTTGTATAGGGTATACAAGGGATATATAAGGGGCACCCTTTGAAGGGGCTCATAACTACCCTGAGAGTAGCTGGTCTGGAAACAGAGTTCATGAAGCTCACGCAATCTGCAGCCGCTTGGCGTGAAAGTAGCTGCTGCCTGGATCCTTTATAAATCGAGCGATGGGTTGCGGTGCAAGCTCCTCTCGAAGCTCCTCTCGGCGCCGTGTCGTCTGTCACGTGCCAAAGACCTTCCTGGCCCCCCCGACGGATGCTTTCCCTCCAGATCGAGACATGCATGAGCTTCATGTCCGAAAGCTGAACGCCTACCTCAGCCGCGTGAAGAAGAACCCGCGAGCTTTCGAGAAGAAGGTGGACAAACGTCGAGCGGAGAGCTTGGGAGGACCATCAGACCCATGGCCGATGGACGCGGTTCCAAGGAGCACAGTGCCGATGGACGCTGTGCTCAAGGACCGAGTGCAGGCTGTGCCTACGCAGACTTCTTGGCTCAACGTCGGCCCGTGATCTTGAAGCTTTTTTTGCACTGCTACGTTGCTCCAAGGAGGCCAACGTGTGGTTTGTGTCCGCTCCGTAACCAATGTCGCCGGACGCTGCCCAGCTGATCCACTCTCCCAGACCCCCGGGAGGATCCAAAAAGTAGATCCCCTTAAGGGTTCCTAAGAATGACCCAATACAGAGCGTACTATTTGGGGGTTCTACTTTTTGGATCCTCCCAGGGGTCTGGGCTCTCGCAACCAGAGGCATTGCCGTAGTGTCAGCTTGTACAGTTTCTGCCACAGCCAGCCATCTGACGCACGGTCCATTCTTTATGACTTTATGATGTGGGGTTTTCGACAATAAGGGACTCTAGACCCCTAAATAGTAGGATTCCCTTATTAGAGGGACCCCAATAAGGTACCCCTAGTATCCCTAAACCCTGGAACACCTAAAACCTCCAAAGCCTAGTATTAAGGACCCCAATACTCCTAATTACGGAAACCACCACGGTAGTTCTCTTCTCCCTAAACCCTAAACCCTAAACCCTAAACCCTAAGCCCTAAACCCTAAACCCTAAACCCTGAGCCATCCTCCACCTTGGATCTCCCTTCGCAGGTGCACCCGGGGGGTATCTTTCCAGGATGGCAAAATGGGGAGCTTCCGGTCCCTTTAAGGGGACCCTCTTCCATTTGGGGTACAGAAAGGGTACCCCTCTTTTGGCAAATACCCAAATACTAAATCATGCACTGCGAAATCATGCATGCGAACATTATACCCAGGATGGGCTGAGTAGGCCTTACTTCATCATCAACCTTTTCAAGGGCCTTGCTAAGGGGTTACAGGGTATCATGGCCCATCCTGGACGTTGCAATATTTTCCAAGCAGCACTTGGCACGCGGAGAAATGTTGTGCTTCGGCCAGAGCCAGTTGAATCCTGGTACCTAGGATTTAGATTCAGCTCAAGGCCCGAACCTGAAGACGTCAAGACCCTAAACCCTGAAGCCCTAAGGCCCTAAACCCGAAACCCTGAAGCCCTAAACCCTAATTAAACCCTAAACCCTAAACCCTAAACCCTAAACCCTGAACCCTAAACCCTAAACCCTAAACCCTTACCCCTAAACCCTGTTGCCAGGACCTCTGGAACCTGGGCATCGTCGCCATGCACAAGAAGGAGTACGACGAGGTGCCGCATGCCAGTTTCGCGCTTGGGGGGGGGCGGGTGGGGGGGGGTTTAGGGTTTAGGGTTTCGGGTTTAGGGTTTAGGGTTTTAGGGTTTAGGGTTTAGGGTTTAGGGTTTAGAGTTACTCGGAGGTTGCTAGGGACTGTAACTGGTTGTAACCTTATCTAGCCCACTTGCAACCCGTAGGGTTGAAGGTTGGTAGCTAGCTGGTTCTAACCTTATCTAGGCTACGTATAACCCTACTTTTAGAGTATCACATGTGCTTTAAAGCCTACTTGTGTATCACAAGCCCAGCACTTCGGGTGAAAACCCCAAACCCCGAACCCTCCCCAACTCCGGTAATCCCAGGCTGTAGACTCTCTGTACCCTATGCCTCCCTTGAACTCCAAAAAGCCCTTAACCCTAAACTCTCTGAGCCCCCCTAAACCTAAACCCTAAACCCTAAACCATAAACCCCAAACCCTAAACCCCCTCCCAGGCGGCGCCCCTTCTCGAGCAGGCGCTGGACGCCTTCATGCGCGATGACCCTGAGGAAACTGGATCTGCTGTCCGCCTTCGGGGAGTCTTAAGTCTGTTAGTCTGTTTTTCGGGAGTAGGACTTTTGGGGTTTAGGGTTTTGGGGTTTTTTTGGGGGTAAGAAGAGCTACACTTATCAGCGGGGTCTAGGTAATTAGGCTTCTTTGTCGGGCTCGTGCAGCTTTTGGGGTCCAATTTGGGTTAAGCTTTGGGTGCAACCCTAAACCCTAAACCCTAAACCCTAAACCCTAAACCCTAAACCCTAAACCTGAAGCCCTAACACCCCCCCTAACCCGCGCCCACCACCCACCCCCACCCTAAACCCTAAACCCTGAAACCGCAGCTCGCAATTAGCTGGTGGCAAAATGTGCAAGGACGATGTCACCATTGCCAAGCTTCGCGACTCCGTCGGAATGTGCTACGACGGCATGGGCAGGCCGCATCACGCTGAAGAATGCGCTGCCACATTAAGAATCAGCAAGCATAAAAGGCTCCAGTCATTTTTTAGGTCTTGAGGTTGAGTGTTGCTTTTCTAGCTTGTACGATAATGTAGAATAGTCTACATGAGCGTGCTCTACGGCAATAGATTGTGATTTGCTATTGTATGTTCTGGCAATACCGGCAACCCTTCCAAGATCAGCGTCGGGATCCAGGTCTATCCCAAGCTGCATAGCCATAAAAAGACTAAAAGTGTGTGTGTGTATTTATATATGTGTTTTTTATTTGTTTACTGAATAGTTTACTACACGGTGCTTGGAATAGTTTACTACACGGTGCTTGAAAGTTCTGGTCTTGGACTTAGGCCTTCGCCCTTGTAAAAGAAGTTGCTTCGGCATGCTGCGCGTCCAGATTATGGCTTCCGGCGGTGAGGTGCTTGCCACGCTAGCGGCACAGTTTTTACAGATCCGCCTAACGCACACATTTAAGGACTCTCATGGGTCAAGTGCAGAAAGTGCACGGACCCGGATTTTTGAGCAGCGACTGTTGCTTGAAGATGAGGATGCTCTGCATGAATTTGTGCCCACAATGCTGCAACTGGATCTCTTGCATGGTTTCCGTGATGCCTACCAGACTGATGCTGATGAATGAGCTATTCGATGCTGCTCGGAACAATCGTATGGCCGATGTGCAGAGTATGGTACTCGCACAAAAGGCGCAAATGCCCCGATTTGGATACGGCGCGTGCAGGGTTGGGGTGCAGCGGACGGACATCTCTGGGAGTAGCGCAACTCTTGCTGGCAGCACGCGCAGCGCTAGAGAAGTCGTGTTCAAGCGGCGCAATGCCTCATCTTGTGGCATCGGAGGCCAGAAGTTGTGCGTTTTTTTGGTGTGGAATCCTGCGCTGACAATGTCGTGGCGGTGAGACCTCTGTACTCATGGCATCGCAGAGCGGTCCTGGAATGCAAGATGGGTGATTTTTCTGGACGGGGCCTTTTGTTGCTTGTTCCGCGTTCCTTTGGTTCACTACGAGCTCCAACCCTAATCGTTAAAATGCTGGGAGCGCTGCCAGGCACGAGGACGCCATCCTCCATTTGGCAGAGGCCCGTGCGCTCTACGTCCGGGGGCCTGGCACCCCGATCCCAACCTTTTAGAGCTTGACTTTGGGCTTCAGGGTTTGGGACTTCGGCGAGTCGAGGGTTTAGGGTTACCTTGAAGCTTTCGAGTTTAGGGCTCAGGAGATTTTAGTTCGAGTTATAGGTTACAGCTACGTAGGGGGCCGGCAAGTAGTGCTAGGCCGCGAAGGGTGGTATGGCAGACCTTTGCAGTTTCCGATTAAGTTCTGCAAGCTCCAGACCCTAAAGCCCCAAACCCCCCACGTAACTGCAAACCCCGAGCCCCAAAACCTAAACCCTACATCCCCAAACGCGCCAGGCCCTAAACTTATAGGGGTGTGGGCCTTGAGCTTCAGGATTAGCGGTTTCGGGTTTAGGGCTCAGGGTCTGGAGTTGTTCGGTCCATGACCTGGCTGTAAAGCTCAGTCAAAGGGAGCGAAGGCGCTTTTTCCCAGGGAGACTCCACTACGAGGAAGATTCCTCTAATCAGCTTTGAACTTCTACTTAAGGGGTTTGAAGTCTCCCTCGCGATGTTCTGTGGGCATATATATATATATATATAGGCTGGTATATATGTATTCATAGGTGTGTATATATATAGAGACAAATCTAAACAAACAAATAAATAAATAAGTAAGTAAATAAATAATTATATATATGTATATGTATATGTATATGTATATGTATATGTATATGTATATGTATATGTATATGTATATGTATATGTATATGTATATGTATATGTATATATCCAAATTCTACGTACGACGGGGCCCTATTAGATGGTTGAAGGTTCAGGGTGCTACTACTGTTCGGGGGCTGTAGCCTAATCTCAAGCAGCCAACCCCAAAGCCTATAAAAACAACACTCGGATGCTCGGTAGTACCCTTGGTTCCTTTTTTCTGGGGGGGGGGGGGGGGGGGTAGGCTTCCTGATCAGCCCCTTTAAGCAAGAGAAAGGGCACCCTGTTTGAGCCCTGGGTTACTGGGCAACCTAGCGTAATCCCCAATCCTTACACCCGAAACCCCCGAAAGCCTGGAACCTATAAGCCTCCAGCTTGAACGCCCTGGACTCCAACCCCACACCCCCAGGACCAGTGTTTAGGTTTTGGGGTTTGGGGTGTAGAGTTCTATAGGCCGTAAGTAGTAAGCCCCCGGACTTACATTGTTGAATGTTCCCATATGCTAAATATACCCTCGTGGGACTAGTCAATGTTCCGGTGCTGTTGGCAAGAGTGAGGGATAAAATGATAGAACCCTAAACCCTAAATCCCATGCCCCAAACCCTCTAGAGACCCTACACCCTATAAACCCTAGGCCTAAACTCTCCCTACAAACCCTATAAACCCTAAACCCTATAAACCGACAGAGGAGCGCAGTATCGGCACTGAGAGCCCACTCTACGGCACCGCCTGCGAGCGACTGGCCAGGCCGGGAAAATCCCCAAACTCTCTACCCTCTAGGGTTGTAGGGTTTAGGGTAGCCCAGTGGTACCCTTTTGCCCTTTTTTTGGTTCAAGGGTCCCTGCTACCAAGGGCTTCGAGGCCTTTTAGGGTTTGTGGCTTTAGGGCCGGTTTAGGCATCTAGGGTTGAGGGCTTTAGGGCCATTCAAGCTTTAGGGCTTAGGGTTTCGGATACTGGGCTTAGGATGTGGGGGTTTGTAGGGTGGTTGTCTGGTGAAGGGTGCTCCCTCTTTTGAAGGCTTACAGAAGTAGCGACATGGTGAGAGAAATCCACAGTGGAAGCCCTAAACCCTGAACCCTAAACCCTAAACCCTAA